GGCAAGATCTCATTCCTTTTGATGGCTGCATAATATTCCATTGTATATACATACCACATCTTCTTTATCCATTCATCTGTCGATGGACATCTTGGCTCTTTCCATAGTTTGGCTATTGTGGACATTGCTGCTGTAAACATTGGGGTACACGTACCCCTTTCACGCAGCATCTTTTAACTGTGCTAGTAGCTTCACCAGATAGCTTAACATTCATTTATCAAAGTTAATTTATTAACTTTTGAAATAAACCAGTCTTTATTGGCCAGAAAAGGATTTGTTGTTGTTGTTTTTCATTCTCCTTGTAAGTGGCCATTTCCTTTCATTGTGGCAGCTAGCTTTAACACTTTGGCCTGAATGACTGGGATTCATTCATTCATTCATTCATTCAATTAGTCATCAATCCAAAGGAGAAGTAAATACATTTCACCATAGTGGCTTTCTGTTCCTAGTGCAGTCTCAACTAAAAGATGATATGAGATGACTTTACCATCTTTTTAAATTTTCATTGGATTCTCTCTACATGGTCCATTCCATATCTTCACACAAGCCTAGGGCTCATCCTGTCTTTGCTGTTGCTTGTTCCAAGTCTTTTAATTACATCCAATTTTACTTTCAGAATTACTGTTTTTTCCTGCATTCTCGTTTTTGTTGGCCAGTTCTCACTCTTTCATCCATTACTGTAAAATTTCACCTGGGTTTATCAGTTGAGAAACAAGAGACAGTACAGCTCCACAGTTTGCCGTCTGCATAAACTGAATAACAGATATGCATTGACCACTCACGGACATACTTCAAAGGAAATGATGTGATTGGTCATAGATCATGATGCATAGCTGTTAGTTACATAGTGATTTGTGGACTGAGAAGCTAGCAGCAAAGTTTGCATAAAGTTGCATAAAGTTTATGTAACTACTCACAGTTAATATACAGTGGTAACTGAAATTTGAACAGAGTTGGTGGGGGACTAGTGTAATACAGTTATACACTATAGTAGAATTCACACATATCAGGATCTACAAAGTCAGGACTGCCTATATGTTAGGAACACACAAGGAAGGAACAGCAAGAGAAACCAACCTAGAACAAGGGGAGAGTTGCACAACATGGTTCAGAGCTATAACTGAGGGCCAGATGATGTAGGGCTTTGTGGGCCATCCAGAATCCTTTGGATTTTATTCTGGGTGAGACTGAATGCTGTCAGAGGGTTCAGCCATAGGAGTGACATGATTTGACTTATTTTTAAAAGGATTACTCTGGCTACCATGCTAGGAATAAACTGCAAGAAAGCAAAAGTGGAAGCAGGGAGACCAAGTGAGAGATGATGGAACCTTAGACTATCGTAGAGGCTTGGACCAGAATGGAGGTAGTAAAAGTCATAAAAAGAGTTCAGATTCTGGATATGTATTGAAGGTACAGCTGACAGAATTTTCTGATAGAAGGGAAGGAAGCCAGTGATAGCTGAGAGGTTTTGCATGAGCAACTGTAGATAGAAATTATCCTTTCTGAAGTAAGGAAGCCTATGGGAATAACAAGGGGAAAAAAAATCTAAGAGTTTAGTTTTAAATATTTTACTTTTGGGATCTCCAAGTGGTTAGAAACAGCCAAGTGGAGATGTCAAGTGTATAGCTGCCTAAAAAATTCCAGAGTAGGTCCATTTCTAGAATTGAAGATAGAAATCTGTTATGCTGGGGATTAAGTTTTGGGAATTACAAGCAGATATATGTTTTTTTAACACCATGAGAGTGGAAGAAAGTCCACTGATAGTATAAATAGTAGAAGTGGTACAAAGTGGTACAAAGACCATGCCTTAGGATATGTCATTTTAGGAGATCAGGAAAATGAAAAACTAGAAAAGGAGACTGTATTCCTATACTATGTGATGTTCCCAGATGTGTTGGTGCCATAATTAGTCCTCCATTAGTGAACACCTAAGGTATTTCCATTTATCACTATAATAAACAAGTAATGCAGTGGATCTTTTTATCATTGAGCCCCTTTGCAAACATTTCTCTGGAATATGTTTCTGGAAGTAGCGTTACTGGGTCAAATTACATGTAGAGTTTAAATTCTGATATCCAATCACTGTACCTGTTTATATCCTCATGAAATGTGTTCCCAATTTCTCCACATTGTTGCCAACATTAGATAATAAATTTTACAAATTTAATACATTACCTTTCATTGCTAAGTGTTGTTTTTTGTTTTGTTTTTAAGTAGTACTAGAGTTACTTTTAAGGTGCTAGGAAAAAATAGGGTTCTGAAGGTGAGGAGCACTCTGTGAAGTACAAAAGTATATTCCTTATAAGCAGCAATATGTGCAGAAACGTGGGTGAGGAGGGGCTATTTGCAGAGTCTTCCCTGGACTGGGTATGGTTCCAAGGTAGGTTGTGGAGGTAGGGCCCTGCACAGGCAGGCACCCAGCTGGCCTTACTTGCAGTTGGCAGTCTGTTTCTGTGGCACCTGAAAGAAGAGAGCATTTGGACTGTGATAAATAACTAGCTGAAATCAGAGCAGTCTCCCCACACTCCCACGCCCAAGTGAAAGGAATCTCATGTAAATTGCTGTTTTTAGGAATAGCCCAACTCATTCACTGATGAGTAATAAAAGGATATTCATGGGAAGACAACTAAAATTAAAAAGTAGAAAAAGAGCAACAAAATATACTCAATTGTTCAGTAAGAACACTTACCAGAAAAGCAGGACAGATGAAACTTATTTTAAAAATCTGACTGTGAATTCAAATTACTTAATGAAGTCAGCACCACCTCAGTGAAGGAAAACACACAAAGATGAAATGCAGACTCCCAAGACTAAATGACAAAACATAAAGGGGTGACACGTGAAGGGACAGAACTCAGTAAAGACCTAGAAGAGACCACAAAATGAAGGTAAAATTAAAATAGAAAACAGTGTAGACATAGAGGATAGAAATGAAAAAAGTGAGCAAAATTTTAAAAAGAAGCAAAAACCATGTAGAACATACTATGATACAAGTAAGATCTAACATACACATGTCAGCATCTCAGAAACCAATATGTGATTTAAAATTGAGGACACATTAATATTATCATTAATGTATTTTTAAGTGGTACACAAAATTTGGTGTATAATGACTGGCAGCTTAGATTCAGTGAAATACTGAAGTCGAGTGGTGTTGTTTGGAGATAGTAGGGTGGTGGTAAAGGGAGGGCAGGAGACTTCTCAGTACATCTTTTGAAACATGAATATATTACTAATTCAAAGCCAAAAGAATAAGGAAAATTAAAATATTATAAAACAGAAGATAGATTTAGGAAGTAAATCCAAAAACTGTTCAAATAAATTTAAAAATTGAATTTTAAGAGAAGTCACATAATACTACAAGGCTTTTATGTATGCTTAGGTGTTTTCTGTCAGTCACTAATTCATCCTCATACTCCCCACCAAACTTAAAGAAATCCTCCAAATACAGGCAGATCTGTCAGATCTCTCGGTTCCATTTTTTTCTTGATTATATCCCTCCCTCCTTGAAGCCTTGCTTCTACCTACTCCAGTCTGCACTGGTTACTCTCTGGACTTGGTGCCCAGCTATTATCCCTGGTGTTTCCTTTGTCCATCATTCTCTGAATTCCCTTCAACTCATCCCTGGTGCCTGTATACTTCCTTTTCCTTGGTTTACTCTCTGATTTGTTAGAGCATGTCTTTTGTGGCAGAGAAGGAGTACATAAGATGTCAGGGTTTTTTTGCATATCAGATAATGGCTTTATTCTGCCCTCACTCTTTACTTGTAGCAAGAATTACTATCAAACTCCACTCATTGAGCCAGAGACCCTTGCGGTGTTAGTGAAAGACTTGCCCCTCAGGTAGCACACTACCTGCACTTGTGAGTTCATCGATCAGTGGCCTCAACTCCAAGCTCAAACACTGTGGAGTGCATTCACTCTTAAGTCCACTCTCTCTCTGTTGCTGAGATTGGGTAAATTATATTGATCTGTCCTCGACCCTACTGATTCTGTCTCCACTCTACTACTGACAATATCCAGTGAGTTTATTTGGCCAATTGTATTTTTCAGTTCTATAACTTACATTTGGTTCTTTTTATAACTTTGATTTCTTTGCTCAGATTATTCTGTTTTTTCATCTATTTCAAGTGAATCTGTCATTGCTTGTTGAAGCATTTTTATGATATCTGTGTCCTTATCTGATAATACCTTCATTATTCATCTCCTATTCAAGTTGTGATTTTCCTGACTCTTGATTAGATGAGTGGTTTTCTGTTTGGACCTGAACATTTATGGTCTTAGAAGACCCTGGAATTTATTTATAGCCTAATGTTTTAGCAGTTCTCCTCACAGACGACCCAGTTAAGGAAGAGAAAGCATTGCCTCCTTACTGGCAAGTGGGGGACTGAAGTCCAGGTTCCCTGCTTGGCCTCTTTTGACACCACTTCAGTGGTGAGATGGTAGAGAGAAGATTGAGGTGCCCCATTACAGCCTGGCAAGTGTGGAAGCCTGGGGTCTCCACAGCATTTGCAAGAGAGAATGGAGATGAGACCATGATTGCTTCTGTGGTGTTTCTCCGGGGCAGAGCAGTTACAGTTTAAAAGTTTTCCATCTTGCTGAGCTGCTCCTGTCTTGGTTCTTTGAGCAGACTTTTCTTAGGACTTTTGTCTGTGCCCTTTGACATTTCTGTATTGTGGTTCTCCAGGACCCAGTCTGGAACACATGAGGCAAAAAGGAAACCCAAGGAATTCCCTGCTGTGTCATTCCTTTGGTCCTGAGGTCCCTAGCCAGTCTGTCTTCATCGTTCAACAGCTGTTTTGTTTGTTTTATATATAGTACTCATGATTTTCAGCTATACTTAGCAGAAAGAACAGGAAAAAGTAGGTCTGTGCCATCTTTCCATAAACAAAATTCCTACCTACACAAATAATACAATGGCTGGGAGAAGTTGAAATTGAAAATCTCTTTTTCAGGGTGCCTGGGTGGGCTCAGTCCATTAAAGGTGTAACTCTTGATTTCAGCTCAGGTCAGGATCTCAGGGTCATGAGATTGAGCCCCACTTTGGGCTCAGTGCGGAGTCTGCTTGAGATTCTCTCTCTCTTCCTCTCCCTCTGCCCCTTCCCTGCTCATGCTCACTCACTCACGCTCTCTCTTAATTTTTAAAAATCTCTTTTTCTTTGTAGGTGATATCTTCAACTTTATCTTAGAGCATTCTCTTCTGAAGTTCTTAACATGAAAACCTGTAAATGTATAGCAAAATAGAGGAAACAGTATTCAACTAGATTTAATTTTTAATATTTTGCCATATATTACCTTTTTTGGTGTAATTAAGTTAGAGAATTTTACATTTAAATACTTTCTTATGCATTTTAACAATTTAATTATGATGTATTCTAGGTGTAGGTTCTTCCAATTTTTCCTACTTGAGTTGGTTGAACTTTTAGATAAACAGACTGAAGTTTTTAATCAAATTTAGGGAGTTTTTGGCCAATATTTCTTCAGATATTCTTCCTGCCCCTCTCTCTCCTTTGCTTCTGAGACTCCCATTATGTGTATGTGGTACACTTACTGCTATCGCATAGATCTCTGAGGCTCTGTTTATTTTTCTTCCTGTACACCTCGCCCCCTCCTTTTTTTAGTTTCTCAGACTGGATAATCTCAATTGACCTATCTTTGAGTTTATTGATTCCTTCTAATGATTGCTGGAATACACATTTTTTTTTAAACTGCCATATTTTTTTTAAGTAATCTCTATACCCAATGTGGGGCTCAGAGTACCCCAAGATCAAGAGTTGGGTGCTCTACCGACTAAGGAAGGCAGCCACGCGCTCCTGAAATATACTTTTGAGTCCAGTTTTTTTTTCCTTTCTGCTCTTAACTTTTCAAATGCAGAATTCCTTTTCGGTCTTTTTTTTTTTTTATAATTTCTGTCTCTTTATTAATCTATTTGCTGAGACATCATTTTTATGCTGTTCTTTAGCCATGATCTCCTTTAGTTCTTTAAACATATTTATAATAGCTGACTTAAATTCTTTGACTAGTAAGTCTGACATCTCTGCATCCTCGGTGACAGTTTTATTGCTTGCTTTTTTTCCCCGTGTTTGAACAGTGCATTCTTGTTTCTTTACATACCTAGGAATTATTGTTGAAAACTGGGCATTTTGAACAGTATAATGTAGCAGCTCTGAAAATCAGATTCCAACCCCCCCCCCCAGGTTTTTTGTTGCTGCTTGTAGTTGTGGTTGTTTGTTTAGGGACTTTTATAAAATAATTCTTTAAAATCGTTATCTTTGTCTAGCGTGACCACTGAATTCTCTGTTAGCTTTGTAGTCAGCTAATGATTGAACAGATTTCCTTGAATGTCTGGAACCAATAAGTCTCCCCATGTTTTGTTTTGTTTTTTTAAAGGTTTTATTTATTTATTTGACAGAGACACAGTGAGAGAGGGAACGCAAGCAGCAGGGGAGTGGGAGAGGGAGAAGCAGGCTCCCACTGAGCAGGGAGCCCGATGCGGGGCTCAATTCCAGGACTCTGAGATCATGACCTGAGCTGAAGGCAGACGCTTAATGACTGAGCCACCCAGGCGCCCCAAGTCTCCCATGTTTGCCAAGGGCCTCTGTGTGTGTCTTGGGATGGCCCATTAACACTGAGGCAGGCAGTTTTACATCTCTGTCTTAACTTTTTTTCTTCCTGCTTGCACAGAGCCTCACACTCAGCCAGAGGTAAGAACTTGGGTCCCTCTCAGTTCTTTCCTGGGCATAAATACAGTCCAGTATACACATAGTCCTACAAGTATATGTTGCTTCCTAAATTTCCAGAAATACATTGGAGCTTTTCAAAGCACCTGTGGACATTTTATTCTCCAATTTTTCTTTTAAAGCTTTTTGGGTAGCTTATTATTTGCCCTACCTATTACCATCCTATCAGTCAGTTGGGAAACTGATCAGTTACATACCAGCAAACTGTAAGGAAAAAGCTGTTTACACTGGACAGGCCAGGTCAAATAAGACAGTCTTGCAAATGGGAACAACCAGACAGGTTATATAATGATAGTTCTCTGGTAAAGAGGGTTTGCTCTAATCCCTCTCGTAGCTGCCAGGCTGCTGGTTTTCACTGTGAGCATGGACTCTTGGTTTGCATGCCTATCGTGGTGGTAGAGATGAAGGAACAGAAATAGGGCAAGTTATAACCCTCAGAGTTTACTGGTCTTACTGAGGTTCAGCTAATTTTCTTGATTAATTTTGCCAGATTATTAATTTCCAGAGTTCGGAAAACATTGCATCTGGCATTTTTGTCAGTTTTGCTTTTGTGAAAGAGAATTTTCAGAGATTGTTACTGCCACATTTTTGCTGATATTTCTGGTTGTTTTATTGTTTAATTCTCTTTAATTCCAGAATAATCCTAACCTGTACCCAACCCCTATTTACTTATTTTGAAATAATTTAAGACTCGCAGAAGTTATAAAAGTAATACAGAAAGTTCCCATGTACCCTTTACCCAGCTTCCCCCCAATGATTACATCTTACATAACCCTTGTACTTTTTCAAAATGAAAAAATTGGCGGGGCGCCTGGGCGGCTCAGTTGGTTAAGCATCTGCCTTCAGCTCAGTTTGTGATCTCAGGGTCCTGGGATCGAGGGTCCTGGGAAGGAGCCCCATGTGGGCTCCCTGCATAGCGGGGAATCTGCTTCTCCCTCTCCCTTTGCCCCTCCCCCTGCTTTTGTGTGTGTGTGTGTGTATGCGCACATACGTGCGCACTCCCTCAAATAACTAAAATTATTAAAAAAGATTGGCATTAATACAGTGCTATTGACTAACTATAAATCTTATTAAAATGTCACCAGTTTTTTTTCCTTTCGTGTACACTACTTTGAAATTTCACCTATGAATAGATTTATGTAACCATTATCATAATCAGAATGTGAATCTGTTTTGTTACCACAAAGACATTCCCTTATTTACAACCATACCCTTCCCCCAGGGGCACCTGAGTGGCTCAGTCGTTAAGCTTCTGCCTTGGGCTCAGGTCATGGTCCCAGAGTCCTGGGATGGAGCCCCACATCGGGCTCTCTTCTCAGCGGGAAGCCTGCTTCTCCCTCTCCCACTCCCCCGGCTTTTGTTCCCTCTCTCGCTGTGTCTCTCTCTGTCAAATAAATAAAT